AGCGTGCCACTTGCCACTACACCACTTCCGCCCCTAAGGCAGAATTTACGATGAAATTAAAGGCAGAATTTACGATGAAAAGTTAGCTCATTGGAAATAAGGGTAGAGGTCAGTGGAGCAGGGATGAAGAAGAAACCATTTGAAACGGCCCGAAACCCGAGAATGGGACCCCTTCCTTGCCCGTTGATTTGCGCATTGATGCGACTCTCATCGCTGTGCCCTCTTCAACACTACGCTCTCTGCTATCTAATCACTCGCCACGTATAGACCTGCGGCGAGTGATCGGTGGGCGTACCCCGCCAACCGCGCCAAGAGTGAGCCATGCTAGATCGCCGAGGTCAAATCTTTCGCTGCCAATTGCGCGTCGGTCAGCACCCTCCGAGGTCCGTCTCCCAACTATGCAATTTTCCCCTTCTTTGACCTTCGATCTTATCGCGAATTCCTCCTTTAATAAAGTTTCGAAGCTTCTGAATGATGAAAGAACTGAAGAAGCTTGATTGCATCTCCCAGTGAAAAGCTTAAGCAAATTTCCGCACAAAGGTTTCCAGTGTTTCAGCAGGGATTTGTTTATGCTTTTGATTCGCTCTCTTTCAGGGACGAATAGCCTCCTACTATGCGCCATCGTTCGAACGATACACTGCTGTTTGTGCGACAAGAGGCGACATCCGTGACATGAGCGCTACTGAGATGGTGATATTGTCATTATCTGCAAGTGAACTCAAAGCCAACACCCGTCACGGTCTTGTTGCTTTCTCATTTGGGTGAATAGTTCGGCTAGATCTCCTTTCGAATGCTAGTTCCACCCAGTCTGATCAATCCGCGACTTTAGCTCCCAATCCATGCAAAACCTGAATTCGATGCGTGTAATGCCTGGGACGTCGTCGCTGTTCATGGGAGGTGATCAGAAAAAACTCATCCAGTTCGATCTAGAAAAGCAAAAAGAACTCCGTGTGGTATGTTGAAACTGCATTTTACTATGAGATTTTTGCAAAGCGGATAAACTTCAAGATTTAAGGCTAACATCAAGGAGAAGAACGCTAATCTCATAAGGTTGAATGGAAGTCAGCTGTTTACTTCGGACTCTGAAGGAAAGGTGAGTTCATCTGTAACATTCAAATTTTCCTCAACTACTTCTCTTACCATCAATACAGATCACACTTCGAGCACTAGGAACGATGGACACGATACGAGTGATTTCAGCACATGGTGGAATGATAACGGACTTTGACGTTAATGGAACAAAACTGATAACGTCAGGATGTTCTATGAGGTATGTTGGGGTGATAATTGGTCGAGATGCCTAGTTTTCGAATTGCCTTCATCGTATTTGGCTTTTTTTTTCCAAGTATACAGGATGAACATGGTTTATAGATTACCACACGGTGAAGTGGGACACATTCTTGAAGCTTTTTCTGGACTTGATTTAAGCCTAAGAAGGAAAGGGTCTCATGATTGCTGTTCACGCAGTCTTTTCTCACTTAGCTGTCCTCTTTTGCATAAGGGCCACTAGTATGGCTGATTTTGACCTGCTTATCGCTGGGCTTTATTAATCGAGTACTTTCTGCTGAAGGTTTTTGATGTTGCTTCCGACTAGCGCTTGCGACATCCATTGACAAATCAATAGCAGCGCATCATCTGTCCATGTCATTGAGTGCTAAGAGCGTGTGGTGGAGCTTCAGTTTTTTTCTGACCTTTCGTGAGCGCTCCCCAATCTTTACGACCCCGCGCTGTCCGTAATAGATAGAAGGTCATTCGTCTTTTGTGATTGAGTATTAAGCACAAAAGACGAACATTCTGAGAAATATGCGCAAGATTGAAGCATAACATTGAAATGACTAATACAATTTTCCGTTCTAATGAATGCACACCTTTCAAGCCATTGAAGTGATGCCGCATAGAAAAAAAAAAAAAAAAAAAAAAAAAAAAAAAAAGAGTGAAAATCCCGTACAAAGTGAAAAGGAATGTACGATCATAAAAGGAAAACTTATTACAAATGTTAAATCCACCAAAATAACAAGACTTTATCCATTGAATAAACAAACTCATTTACGATAATCTCACAATACTAATCTCACATCTAATCAACATATAATTATGCGACCAATCAGGGTGATATCAAAGTAAGATGGTACAGAAGTAAAATAAGTAATAAAATAAATAGCCTTCAAGAATAAAGCCGAATAGTTTCCAAGAGATAGCATTTTAGAATAGGATCAAAAAAGACCCAAAGAGGGGGGGGGTATTATAAGTTTCATAAATGAAAGGAACGCTTAACGCGATTCCAGTGATCACATCAGATTCCAAGGATGGAATACCAACCTGATCCGCGATATCGATATATAATTTCAATACACTAAAGCAATCACCTCGCCTTCGAGAGATGAAATGGCAAAGGACTTTCACAATTAATTTATAAACTAGTCGAGAAACTATATTTTCGATAACTATAAACACAAATTGTATTCGAATCAGTTAATGCAGAATGCGAAGAAAAAATGGAACCGGTTATGCAACCCTATCTTTCAGGAAATATTCACGTTTACGCAGACCGACCGAATCCTGCCATCAATGATTCCTCGTACGAAACCGACTTTGCCGATCCCTCGGTATGATGCTGACGATCTCCCTGAGTCGGTATAAGATATGAAAATATGTGTTTTAGCTCGGACCTCCTCAGTCGTTCTTAATCGATGATACCCATACTCCACTTGCATCAGTGCCTCTTCCATTTTCTTGTGATGATACTTACTTTTCGGACTGGCCAGATGAATTGTGTCAAAATGTGTACAGGTTTGTGGCAATCCCATTGCAAATTATGCTAAACCCTTCCATGGTTGAGTTTTTTGAAGAAATGTGGATGACTTGGTCTGCAACTTGACTCTCAAATTTTGTGATTTTTTCAAGAGGATGGTAGCGAGACAGCTTTTGGAGCAATGCGATAGTTCTGATAGCTTGCTTTTTTAGTGCATTCTACCAACTCAGTTTTCTTTCTTTTCAGGAGACCAAAACCGTTGCCTGCTCACCCAACAATGTCAACTATACAATTCGTAGGCTATGCACCGAATCCACGTGCTAATACTCCATTGGCGTATTTCAATGTTGTTCCATACTACCTGGACGGCCAGGAAGTCTGTGGTAAGCTTGAAGTTGTAGTGTTTAACATTTGATTTATATCCTAGATTTTTGTGTACCTTTACCTATGTTATAGAGGTGGAAGATTCTCCTGCACCTGTTGTTATTCCCCAGTTTTATCGTAAACTGGAAATTCGTCGCTCACGTAGTGGAAGGCTTGACGATAATACGGTCTTAAAGTACAACAAGACAGACTACGTGCCGATGGAGAACGTCGCTTCCAGTACCATCATCAATCCTATAGTTCTGGTACGTCCATGTATTCGCAGTTTGCACTTCACTGGTCTACATTTTTATTCTCTTTTACATATTTTTGCTTACCACTTCCTTCTCTCTTTTTTTGAACAAGGAAGCAGTGCGTGTGTATGAAAAATCTCCATCGTACTCGTAGCTTTTTTCGGCAAACAGAATTTCTGATTTGTATGCTCCAGTTGGATTGAAATTTTGATGTTCTGTTGCAGATTTTGTTCCACATTTCTGCTCTCCGCAATGTTATTCTATCGCATATCTGTGAGGATGAGCACTGCATAGTTTGTCAGTTGGATTTCGTGTTCAGGAATCATCAGTGACAAGAAGAAATCAAAAGAGGCCGCAGCGGTGAGTGCTGCCTATTCTCTTGTATGTTTACATTTACATGCTTGTTGTGGTTGAGTGTTGAGCAGGCGTACTTTATTATCTAAATTTTGCGCAAGGCGAATTATCGAGTAGGTGAAGAGATGGGGCCCGTAATTGAAAAATCATGACACCATGGGTCTGAAAATGTGCTGGGAGTAATTTTTAGTTTTCGGAAATATGAGGGACCAAAGGAATAAATTCAGAAAGTTGAATGGCAGGACAGATAAGTTGAAAGCTTTTCAGAAATCCTATCTTTTTTTTACAGGTGCTCCCGCTCGTTTACATGCAATCCGTAATCCGTATTATTTTAGTGTACAAATTTGATCCGGTCACTTGTGGTTTCCGGTGCAGCAGCAGTGGTAGGGCCAGTGCAACTAACAACGCAGAGCCTGTTTTGCTATGTGATGAGCGCGCTGAACAAGGTAATCGAGCATTACACCCTATTTTTTTGACGTATACTGTTTGTTTAATAAAAGTTACACCATTAATCAGTACAGAATTACATTGCTCTATCAGTTTGTAAACAGAATTTGTTGTAATCCTTAGAAAAAAAGTAGGAAAGTTTGTATTCCCTTTCAGTCTGTGGTAGGCGAAGAGTGTCAGAAACTCGCCGAGATTTTGGGATCTGAACTAACAGTACTGTCGCGTTGCATTCGATGCGGAGAGCTGAATGGATCCGATGAAAAGAAGATCGTTATTTCCATGAACTATCCGGAAGGTATTCCAATGCTCATTCCATCTTTTCCATGAGACTTTAACTTTTATATAGCGAGTATATTGGACAAAGTTCAGCTGCCGAACAGAGAAACATGAGCTACCTACTGGAGAAAGCGTTGCATGCGAAAGGACAACGTCAAGGGCCATGCGAATCTTGTTCAGTGACCGTGAGTTTCATTGTTATTCACATAGTTGAAGTTTCTGTTTCTGAAAGCGACCTGGTCGTTTCTATTCCTAATGGTATTTTTTCAATTACTTCAAAGTGACGATTAAAAAATTTACAATTATGTTGGTGTTTTGGCAGTTTTTCGCACTGTTTAATTGAATTTGGTATAGACTCGCATGGATGACACTAGAAGAGTCCAGAAGCTTGCACCAATATTGCTGATCGACACGAATCCGGGTAGTCCAAAGTTTACCGAGTTTTGGGAGAAGCAACTGAAGGTTATTTTTATGCTTTAGAAATTTCTTTTGAAGAGATTTTTGATCATAACCCTCCCCCATTTCTGCGGATATTCGCAGTCCCGATGCTATGTAGTCATTTATTCAGCTGTCTGAATCTCGCCCTCGATACCGTATTCCGGAAAAAGAATGTTCACTGGAAGGAGGTGGCCGAGCTGAAAGACCATGCCGATATGGACAGGAGTGTAGGAACAGGCAGGTTCCAATATATTTGCTTCTATTTGTGTTGAAGTAAAAAAATAAATACATAACATGAGACTTCTGGGCCGCACGCTATCTTTCTTCAGAAGAGGTGTCCCTTCTCCGATGATACCTCAAGGCTGAGGAAAACAGGGTTGCCGGACTGCTGCATACGACCCCAGATTCGTGACTACAGAGTGGATCGCCGCGCTTCTGGCGCGATGCCAGAATTGCGGCAATTGTGGGTCAGAGTTACAAATAGAGGAGGGGCGCCCAACGCAAACCATATGGATCAATAACGATACGCCCAAAAGAATAAGGTTTCAGAAGAATCCGCTGGAAAGATTAGATACGTATTGATTGTGAATAGGAGCATGAGAGATTGAAAGTCTAGTAGAACAAGAGATCAGGAGATGTCCTTCTCTCCGGTCGAGTCATTCAATTTGTGTTTCATTCAGCAGCTCGACCTGCTTTTCCCTAAATTCCCTCATTTTTTGTCCTCATGAGCAATACGTGTCTTTTTCAATTTCCCTTATTCTGTCATTTTCTGAAACTTCTAAGACATAAGCTCTAGCTAGATCCAGGCTTGGCGTATGAGCGTTCACTACATGGAGGAGGGGTTTTACAAACTGCACAAGATCGAAGACCACTCAAATTGCGCCGTCGGACGCCAGTGAATGAACAGGAATAACTATTATTTGCACCTGCCAGGAAGGTTAAAAAACCACAGTCTTATCAAGTCGGCAAGGACGAGTCTAAGGGAATTGATAATGCAGTAGTGAGTGCGCCACGAAGAGCGCTTCCAAGGTTACGCATCCTAAAAAAGGCTTGGCTGCGAAGCCACCCTTTCCAATATCCCGTGATTGTCCGTCTAGCGCTAATGACCGAGTTTCAGCGTCTACGTCGCAAATCATTCGCATATTTTTATTTGTACGGACCGACTGGTCATCTGGAATGCTCTTCATGGCTTGAAGACACGGGATGTGTGAGTGTGAGAGAGCGAGTGTGTGTTACTTCCATGGCGTTATTCCAGTGAGTGTTTTTGATTCTCTAGCTTTTTGTATTTTTGAAAAATGGACTTTTTTTGATCATTTTATATCTGACTTTGACGACCAATCACCTGTGGCAGCGTCCTTCCGTCTTTGTATGTTGATCTTTCTGCAAGTTAAGCTTTCAGTAGTTCGTCTAGATCTGCTTAATTTCCCTGTATAGGTAGCTAACGGACTGGCAATATTTGAGCGAAAAGCCAATGGAGGGCGAGTACGATTCGCTATGAATTGGTAGGAATTGTAGCAGCTATTGGTGATGGTAATGGACAATGGACTCATTCTGTAACACTTATCAAGGACGATGCAGACTCGTAAGTTCCCTAGGATATGACGCTTCCTGGCTTGCTATGTTGTTCTAGGGAGTGCTGCTGCAAGCAGTGGATAATATCGATTACAGCAAGTTCGTACTCACATTCTTTTGCGAGATAGATTGCTTTAGAAAAAGCCCTTGGTGTCTTTTTGATGATGTGCTGGTCACTCGTGTTCATGAGGATGAAGCGCTCCATATGGATTCTCGATGGAAGTTACCGTTGATTCTTTGCTATGCGAACGAGAAGTCCGATTTGATGAAAAGGTTCATACCGTGCGCAATATATCGCTGCTACTGATTGATTTCCATTTGACATCACTGATTTCTTACTCAGTTGCTGAAACCCGATTGCCAATCCCGTGCTCGGTTTTTCAAACGGACAATAATCTTACTGGTAATGAAGAAGTAGCCCGAGAGCGGAGGATGCTTGAAATCCCTGGTGAAGGCGACTATGTCGGGATTGATGCGGAATTCATCAACGTTGGCAATGTAAGCTTACTTTTTACTCTACCCTTCGTTGCTATTTTAGCTGTGGGACTGCGTAAAGTTGGCCCTTTTTCTACAGGAACATGGACGGAAGTCAGTAGGAAGAGTTAGCTGCGTCAATTCAACAGGTGAACAAATCCTTATTGATGACTACGTGGTCACCTGTGAAGGCGATGTTGTTGATGATTATCTTACTCAATACAGGTTTGATTTGAGCCGATCATTAACATCTTTCTTTTGTGTTGTTTTTTCTTTTTTGCTTTTGTGAAATGGCCCATGTCTTACGACCTGACGCGTCAGCGCTGTTGATGGGTCACCGTTGAGCAACTGGCTCCTAATTAGTATTTGATCTGCCTCATAACTGAGAGAAAGGAAAATTTAAGGGAGGGGTTTTTTGGTTTGCTTATTCAAGACCTTAGTGCTTCTGAGTGTCCTGCATTCAACAGTTGCTTTAAGAACCATTTATTGATTTCAATGGAAGATTTTTTGTCAGTAGGCCCATCGATCGTGGTGAGTAGGGAAATCGAAAATATTGGGTTATGTGGCATAATGTTTTTTTTTTCTTTTTTTAATTTCGAGCATAGTATCGTAACGTTTTTTTCCGAGCGTGTAAATTCAATCAGTAGCAGTAATTACCGAAATCACTACTCATACTGGTTTTGTAAAGTACTCTATACCGCTTAAAACAGTAGTTATTTTCTTCAACTTATGAGCATGACTTCAGATACAGAGCTCAGAAGTGTCTTCTTGGGCGAATATGATGTTTTCCACACGCTGTAACACCGTAATTCCTCGGTTAAATAAAAAAGAACGCATAATTGAAAGTTCTCTTGAATGCATTGTTTCTATATCGACTTGCTCTAAACGACTCTAACCTTTTGTCTTAATTGAAACCGGATTCATTTCGTACAAATTGGGTCTAATAAGGACTCCGAAAACAAGCTCAATATTTTTTTCTATATCCGGTGATCTCTTGCGAAATGTAATCAAAGCTGTAAATAATGGCGAAGTGAAACACCACTAATTAGTTTTATGTTTTTATTTTTTTTGCAAATGTTTGTGTGAAGAAATGAAAAATGCTTGTGCTAACGATATTATGTTCCAACCTATTATATTATTAGAAGAAATCTGCAGCTTAGTTGGACAATTGCCGTTGCTCAAAGTTGGCCAGCGATATTCAACTGCGTACCGTGGTTGAATTACTTACGAAACGGATAGATCTATAATGCGGGAATATCGTACAAACCGCTGTAATAGCGTATATCTGATCTCAAATTTCTCATCCGATTTCATATTCTTTCAGTGGAATAATGGAGGACGACCTTGACCCTAACAAGTCAACAAAACATCTCACAACTTTGAAACGCGTCTACATGAAAGTATTACATCTGATTGAGAGAGGCTGCATTTTTGTGGGCCATGCGCTAGTCAACGACTTCTCTACGCTGAACATTCATGTTAGTTTTTTTTTTCAAATTATGCTATATCCCCTCAAACTTTATGTCCAACTTATTCACAACCTTGTCGTTATGAAAATTTGTTTTAATTGCTGTTGGTTCAGGTGCCAGCGAAACAGATGATTGATACCGTGGAGTTATTCCGTGTACCACAGCAACGTCTTTTCTCGTTACAGTTTCTTGCATGGCATCTACTTGGTTAGTTAATGTCATTTACTCCACCATAGAGCGTTTGCTCTTGTAAGAACAGAATGCCTCAATTAAAACCGATTTTTAGCATTCGAAAATTTTTTGATGAGATTGATCCCGAATGATGCAGTATCTAAAACAGGATGACAGAATCATCCGGCAAAGTAATATAAGATGGTGGGCGGAATTGGGTTAGTGGAAGGTGGTGCTACTTACCATGCGCACGGTCCGTTGGTCGGTCTACGGACAACTTGAACTCGGTCCTTCAAACCGCGTCGACTCGATGCTCTCGCCTGCGCTCTCTCGCTTAAACAGCGGCTTATGATTATTGTGATCTGACACATCCAAACTTTGCCACAATTTCTCACCCAATCCGGAGTCCCTTCTCCTCCAAGGCTTAGTCCTAGGTTGTCACCCTTCCTTCTTGGGTTTTGGAGCCGAGCCAGGCGCCGTTCTCTAATCGTCTGCGCTCTGGCCTTTCGCGGCAGAGAACACAGGGGAGAGTTCAAGTAGTCACGTAATCCCGTTGGTCAAACTGTTCGACACCGTCAGGCGCTAGCGTTCATTCCCATTGGGGTATGCTTTAATTGGAACCGGACTTGTCTGAGGATTAAAAAACTTGGAGCCAGAGAATACGATGGGTTCTGAAGGGGTCTACATGGAGGTGCTTAATGGTATGCCAATGGCCAAAAAACAGGAAATCCGTCTAGAAAACGCAAAACGGGGTCCCCGTTGGCTGTTGATTTTCGCTGATGCACGGCGGCGGCTAGGACGATGGACGTATGGGCGGATCAACCGCAACACATGGAGTGACACTATGCCAAACCATGTTCCAATCGAGTTGCTCGTTCGTCATATCTCAGAGTTTTCCTCGAGCCGGGCTTAACCCTGTGCAGTAGTCTGTATTCCACAAAAATTGGGTGGATGGCTGTCACACTATGAGATTTTTCGGCGAAAAAAAGAATTCACAAGTGGGGATCCACGACTCCGTTGAGGATGCTCGGGTCGCATTGAAACTTTTCAGGAAGTGGGAGGAACTCAGCAAGGATGGTATGTTACAGCTTATAACCCAATTTTTCTGCATCTATTTCACACTCTTTTCCTTCATAGCTTTCCTTTTCAGTAGCAGATTTTATATTTCAAGTTGAATACTTTTCAAAATTTCTAAACTTTTTAGGCACTTTGGAGAGCGTTTTGAACTCGTTATATACAACGGGTAAGCAGTTGGGATGGCGTGTTGACCATGCTCCTCAATCGAAAAGCAGCTCCCCGCTTTCAGAAACACGTGCGGCTGGCGCGTCACCGCCTTTAGAGTAAGTTATTCTAAAGATCTCTAGTGAGCCTTCATGGGGTTTTCTTGGAAACTAGAGGCGGAATATTGATTCTGCGTCACTTGATTATTATTTCATTTTGAAGTGTGTGTAGGTTTTTAGATAGCATTTAGATGAAGTTTGTGTATTTAGGTTTTGTATAGGTGGTAGAGGGCAGTGTAATATTTAGTGCACAATCAATTTCGTGTTGTACATAAGTTTCATATTTTTAACATTCTCTGAATACTGGTGCACAATATTAGCGAGCAAGCTGGTCTTTGCAATCTCGAAAGAAAACCTCACTGTGATGTGGTTTTGATTTGTTTATTGAAGTGTGTGAATAAATGGTTCAATAACTGTTGTGCCACCTCTCGCCAGGCAGTGACAACCGTCTGCTCAGAGGTATATTGCACGAACTGTTCTACACGTAATGAGCACGTTGTTCAGCGTGGAGCTTCTTTCTTGGGTTGGGCCATGATTCCCAATCCATCTTAGAATCGTATGGGCGTGTTATCTAAGGCAACTTGTGTGTTTGATTGCTGTTCAAGCGCGCTTCACTCGGGGAATTTTTTGGTCAGTACGCCGCCTTTCAAAACTCAGAACATCGAATATGGTCCATTCTCCACCCCTCCCTATCGATCCATTGCCGTACTTGTTGTCCATAACAGTTTGGGTTGCGTAAGGCTAAGATTTTTCCAGGAGAGAAGTTCGGAATCGATCTCTTTTTTCAGTGCTGTTTCGTTTTTATTTTGTGAATTTTTGTCCAAAAACAGAACAAAAAATAAATTGAAATAAATAAACGCGCTCAATTGACCATCAAGATTTCTAATGTCTGAATTTGGCTTGTAGGTTGTAAAGTGGATGCGCCTGTTCTCAAAGATCCTCAGGGGGATTCTGGTATATGCGGTGCCCCTCGAATTATAAACTTCGGTTGTGTCCTTTTAGCTAAAAATTAGTTGTTTTTGAGCTCCCATTTTTATCCATTTTTTCTGATATTTTGTTTCCTCCAACCGCTACTGTATAAATGAATTTATTACCAATATCAATATATCCTCTATAATGAGTCTGTCGGAGTTGGGTCAGCACTCAGCTCAGCTAATTAAGCGAGGTCCACCCAGAGGCAGGTTACAGGGTGGTGCGAGATAACCACGGCGAGGAGGTGTGAAAGGTCAATCCTGACTAAAGGTGCACACCCTGCTCCAGGCTTTGAGGGTCTCCGCGGAGTAGCGAGAGTGCCCCTCTCTCCACCCGGGAGGTCATAAGTTCTTCTTGTTGGAGTGCAAATTTTGAGAGCACTACCACTACTCCACGGTGACTCAGAAAGCTCGGAGGCTAGCACGGTTAATACGTCTTGCCACTTGTTTGATCCCCTGATCAGATGAACTCTGGATGAATTAGGGCAAAGAAAAATTGTTAAATGTCATACTCGTGGCCCGTCACCTTAAAAGCGTGGCACGTTCAACGAAAGCCTCCAAACTAATCATTTTAAGTGAAAGATTAGCCGTAAAATTCCACTTAGGCTCGCACTGTTAACGCGTGCCTCCCAGCCTAAAGGTTAAGCTCAACTCAAACTTGTTTTTGAAGATGAAGGGATTTGCGAAGGATTCTTCGGAGAACTATGCATCAGCGTGCCACCTGACCTTCAACAAGTTTTGCCCCGCAGAAATTTAGATAATTTTCTTGGGAGTCAATTTTGAACTCGAACTTGACATCTTGCTGTAGAGGAGCACCCTCATAATGCAGACAGCCACTGAAACATCAGTAGGATAGATTTAAGAGAATCATTAAATTCACTAGATAGCCAAAAGTATATAATGATCGCGCACGGTTGATATGGCTCGAATTGTTGGGGTACGGAAGCAGACAAAGGTCGCTTAACAATGCGGACTGCCTATGGGGAGTTTTTAGAAATGTCCACGATCAACTCAAAGGCAGCTGCCTGTTCACCACGATAAGTGCTTCCCCTAAGCGATTCAAGGCTTTGCGTCAAAATCGTGGAAATTGTTCCTTATTGGACGCAACGGGAATGGACCTCATGACTTATCCGTTGAACTCAGAATTTTTGAGGGTTCGATAAATGCGTCCTGTACACATAGTATTCATTAGAGAGCTTTTGAACTCATTATCTAAATCACAATGGTGGTAATCAGCCGGGGTCGAGGGAGTCGCGACGTGAGTATGGTCTGTCTTGCGTTCGTCACATTTGATGCTATCCGGTCAGTTCCGGGAAAAGAAAGGTTTCAATCATATAACTCTTAATAGCTCGGGTGTCGTATAGTGGAGTAATTCGGTTGTGGAGTCAATCCCACAGTGTTTGTTATATAGTTGTTACAAATGCAGGTCAGTTTGTTGGGTTCTTAAATGCCTTAGTTCATCTTTAAGTAAGCGTTCACCGCGGGGCGTTTACTGTTAGGTTGTCGTGGCTCATGTTCCTTAGCAGGCACCCGGTTTCCACCCTTGGCCACCCGCAGGTCTTCTCCTGGACCCACGAGCCGGCAACACCCTGTTTGCCCAAGGCTTCGATGACCGCTTCTGTCTCCACAGAGTCGAAGGCCTTCTTCAAGTCGATGAACGTGAGACAAAGCGGCATCTTGTACTCTCGTGAAACTTCAATGAGTCTTGTAACCGTGTGGATATGGTCGATCGTGCTGAACCCTCTTCGGAACCCTGCTTGCTCGCATGGCTGTCCTTCATCCAGTATTCTGCCGATCCTGTTGATGACTCGAGTGAATAGCTTGTAGATTACAGACAGCAGGCAGATTGGGCGATAGTTGCCAATGTCGTCCAAGGTCTCCCTTCTTGTACAGCAACACGGTCCTGCTGGTTTTCCACGGAGTGGGTACCTTGCATTCCGACAGGTAGCGCGTGAAGAGTCGAGCCAGAGTTTTGGGATAGATGACTGGCGGCGCATTTTTCAGATGTTCCGGCTTTTGTTTGACTTCGCCTGTCTGAGACTGGGCTGTCCTCCTGGTACGATTCTTTCACCGACTTGATGGCGTGTCGGACTTCGGAAGAGAGTACTGAGGGGACGACGTATCCATCCTGTTGCAGTTGATAAGTGGGCAGATGGACATGGCTATCGAAGAGATCCGAGTAGAAGTCGTGGATGACTTTCTCCATTGCCCTTCGGGATGCAGTAACTGTTCCATCCGGACGTCGGAGGCAGGTCATCTTGGTCTTGTAGCTGGCAAAGCTTCGGCGGGCATTGCGGATGCTCCTCCCAGCCTCTGCTGCTTCAGCTAATACTGCTGCTCTTCGCTCCTTGAGATCTTCCTTTATCGCCTCTCTGCATAGCTTCGCAAGCTCGGACGTGAGTCGGGTGATTGCTTGCACGGCGTGCGGTCCACTGTGACGTTCGCTCAAAGATTTTTCGTTAGACAGGACGTTCTTTGTTGGGATTGCATGACTCGCTGGCCTTCCTGCCACTTCATGAGGTTGGCTTCAACGAGCCGATGATATTCTCGGTCGATGTTCTCGATTCCTCCCATGAGTTGACAAGAGAAGTGAAGTGATCCCAATTGATGACTGTCCTGGGGCTTCCCTTTCTTTAACTTCGAGGCTCTCTCAACACGCATCGAAAAGTGGAACTTTGCGCGGAGGAGGCGATTATAATTTAGTTTTTCCACCCCCCCATCCCGTGTAGAACTTCGGAACAACAGCGACGTCGGTCAGGCAAAACCTTCGATTGAAGATGATGTGGTCTATCTCGTTATGGAACTGTCCATCAGGTGACTCCCAAGTCCAACGAAGGTGAGAGGGCTTCTGGAACTGCGAGTTACCATGGATGGTGTTGGTCGACATGATAAACTCAGACAGTCTTTCGCCCTGCTCATTCCAATCCATTCCGTGAGTACCGATGTGAAGTTCTTCAGCCGTTCTTCTCGGGCCAATCTTGGCGTTGAAGTCGCCGACGATGACCTTGAAGAAAGGTATGATCTTCCTTGTAGAACTTCTCCAATTCCATATAAAATGCTTCGTGTTCCTCCTCGTCGTAGCTCGATGTTGGTGCGTAGGCGACGAAGATTGTCAAAGCAGGAGTTGATCCACATCTTCTCAATCTCAAACGTCCGATTCGGGTCGTAAGGCTTTCGTACGAATCGATGTTTATGGCCAAGTGCGTGTTGACGAGGACACCCACACCGCCAACGCCTCTGCTGTCGCATGTTCCAAGGAACAGTTCTTCTCCAGTATCGAAAACGGCG